GAATCCGTAGCTCTACGAAATAAGATTGCGCAAAATATAGCAGGCATTAAAGAGGATATAGCATTGCTTAAGGAGGTTCTAGGAAAAATAATCGATATATATCAGGTACATGGTAGACGTCAATGCCTTAAGTCAGATCTGTCAATTTGAAATCTAGCAATACGTAGGATATAACGAAAAAAATTGCTTCGCATGTACGTAGTGCATATAGCTTCGGGGGTAGGAGCCCAGGCTATATTATGATTTCCCGAAGGGAGTTATATAGTAACTATGCTACCATATTAATTTTTAATATAATGCTCGTACAAGAGAAAGTATATGTTCTGGCCCTAAAACATTAGTCTTAATAAATGCATCATATAGAGTGTTTGGTTTATAGTTTGAGGTCAGTATGTCGGGATGATGGAGGAATTCCATAAGTATATTACTTCTCCATTCCTGCGTTTTGTTACTATCCCAGTTAATTTTTAATAACTGGTATATAGCATAATCATTGCTTACTTCGAGTAAAAGCTGTAATAAACTTACTTTTCCATTAATCAACATAAGTAAACTTTTTTCTGGATCATGCGCGATTTCCCAAATTCGATTAGATATAAATGAAAGAAATTTTTCTAATGTTTGTTTATCATGAATTGGAGAGATTAAAAGTCCTTCCTTTTTCCAATGCAAATAACCATCACGTATCAAGTTATTATATGCTGGCCCATCAATTACAATCATACGATTTGTTTTGGGGTTATAGATTTTTGGCTTTCTTGAACACCTAGCTAATTTGAATAGCTCACCCGAGGTTATTGTTTCTTTATTGTATTTCGGTTCTTGGGTATACATTTTTGATTATAGTATGTGGTATATGTGTATCGGTGTTCTATATTATATATATATAATGTATTTACACAACCATTATTTAAATTGATTTTTACATTTATTAAACCTACGTTAAAAGTGAAAGGGGTTTGTATTCTATATTATAAAATACTTTACATGGATCGCCTCACCTGCACACATATTAAAATGGATAGAACCACTTGCGGACGAGTTTGCACCCGCCTGGCGGGTTGTGCCCTACACTGGAAATCAGGAACGAATAAATTACTAAAATCTCCTTGCAGTATATGTAATAAACCCACCTCGTCTTATACGGGCTATTGTTATAATCATGCCAAAAAATTTTATCACCGAGCTGAGAGGGAGAGACAGAAAAATGGTCTTATCGATTTGACTCCACCTATATAGGCAATTTATTTCGGGAGAAATGGCACTTCGTTCCTAAACGTCACAAAAACGAGTATATGGGTATAAAGAATAAAGTTTGTATAATATTTTAATCTAAAAATTTTTATATTGGTCATTCGTAGAGACAGAAAATCCGAAGTCTCCACCTATAAAACTCATCTATTCACTCCTTACTGATCGAGCATTTACCATAGAACCCATTTTCCTGAAGTATTGTTATACTTTTTTTCCATTCCTCATCATCATAGGGGGTTGCTCGAAATTCTCCGTCATCCTCATGCTTTCGAATTTTAATCTCTATGCATATCAATCTTGCCCGCCTATCTATATCCTTATCCATTAATGTATCTGGATCATCATCAGTATCTTTTGCGAATTGAATCATCTCTGCATCTGATATCATTTTGTCTTTGAATATTAGTGCCAAATCCTTATCTTTTTCAGTTATGGTCATAAACTTATCTGGGTTCTCACCGTATTTAATCGCAGTTTCTCTGAGGCGCTTTTCCCGTTGCTCCCTAGTTTGATATCCCGGTGGGTATGATATCTGCTGGGGAGGTGCCTCGTTGTTGGACTTGGATTCGTTGCTTACAGGTAAGACGGGAGATATCTCAGGCTCATTTTTCGCAGATTCCTCGATAATTTCTGGAGATTTGGGTTTATCGTCTATAACTTCTACGTGTTCGATCTCAGGAGGCAGAGATATATTGGTAGACTTGGATGACGAAGCAACTGAAGATTCATTTGTTATATAATCAAAGAGGTCTTGGGTCGTGTTAGTAATGGATGGGACGGACGATGAAGCCTCGCCTTTTTCATTGCGATCGGGAGTTAATGCTTCTGCTGTATCTTTTTCTAGTTTGGAGGTAATTTCGGGTACGTTAAATATAGGTATACCTGTTGAACTATCGATAGGAGGATTATCTTTAGGCGTGTCAGAAAATTCCTCAATCTCACATATTGATTCACG